TTTAAGAATTTATTTGTAAATAGTAATAATATATATATATATATGTACATATGTAATGCATTATAACTGACATGTGATTATATTTTACAAAATACTGTTGCACCAGTAAGTAGTACAAAGCTAAGACAGTTGCACTTTTGTAAAGGCCAGTTTATGCTACTGGATAAGGTAACATGAGTGGCACATGCACCACATGATTGCAACTTCTGTGGCACTACTGTTAGTCAGACATGGCTGAAAAGTCAATAAAATAAAAATACTAAATGTATATCTATAATAATAAAAGGGCGTGTCTGTGGGTCTGTGTGTGTGACCACCATAACTTCAAGAGGAAAGAACCTAGAAACATGAAATTTTGCACACATACTAAGAGGACCCTAAGAGTGTGCACTTGGGTATTATTATTTATCCATGTGTGTGCACATCTTTTTGTGATGTAAGCAAGTGAACAAACACATAGAGAAAAATATGCGACCACCATAGCTTCAAGACCAAAGAACCTAGAAACCTGAAATTCTGCACCCATACTAAGTGGACTCTGAGGGTGTGCACCTGGGTATTATTATTTAACCACGTGTGTGCATACATGAGACAAGCTAGCAAAAAACCATAGAAAAGAAGTGGTTCTTTATACAACAACCTCTAATATACAGAAAAGCCAGTGCATTTTGGTAACAATTGTTCCAACAATGGCTTTTATGTCATGTTGCTTAGCAAAAAAAGGATATAGGTTATACTTCTTTGCTAAAATGGTTCAAAATACACACATTGACGTTAGTCAACTAGAATCCATCAACCTAATAACCTGAAGTAAAGCTGGGTACATTCGCTAGCAGATGTATAATATATGAGATTTAAGTTATTGATAATAAAAATTTGTGGTTTCCTGTTACAAACAGCAGTTATTTTAGAATAAAAAAACGTAATTTAAAGTTATTTTCTAATTTTTAATGGTGGTTATGAGTTTGATCGATTTGACCAACCCTGTATGGTGTTAAGGTACAGAAAATATAAAGATTTTCTAAAAAAAAAAAACGTTTGACATATATTTAGGAGGTTATAGAGATCATGCAAATGAAACTTTAAAATTTTCAGATAAAGAAAAGTATTTTTAATCTTAAAATCAAATCTACTTTGCAGATTAGGTAGTTAACATTCCAAAAGATAACAACTCACGACAAATCTTTAATCAAAAGATCTTAGTACTTAATTAAAAAAACTGATATTTTATGTATGGAAGTCTTGTAATGTTTACTGATAACCTGTGAAACTTTGTGAAGATATGCATACATTATCAAAAATTACTATAGTTTGAAAAAAAAATATGCAAATGAAGAATTGACTAGTTTACTTGGCCAGTTTTTTTTATATAACAAATAACAAAGCTGAAGTTAAGGCCTACCACTGTAGTTTATTTGAGACAAAAAAAAAGTGTCCCAGGAGGGGTGATACTTGTAAAACGTTCTAAGAACAAATAAATATACAAATGTTTAATTGTATCTTTAATTACCTCAAACAACTCTTCTTCATCTTCAGTTTTGTTTCCACCATGCCTGTTGTGGTGATTCTCACCTTTCTCATATACTTCATTCATGCTGCAAGTGTTAGTCTGTAGAGTTTTCAGAAATTCACTTTTGTTTCCTCTAACTTTGGGATTCTTTATTAGGATTTCCATATGCTGTGGGGAAGTTAAAATGGATTTTTACAGATAGATAAAAAAAAGAAAGAAAGAATATATTTACCTAGGAGGTATAGCAAAATTTTCAGGCCAGAGCACAAAGGTTACATGTACAGCCTTGGGGTTAATAGTACATGTGGCTACATACAGATATTATCTTTTCACATATCTGATCCATGAGATATATTTAATGTGCCTTTTCTCAATTACACATTAATTATTTTGTTATGCAATTTCCTAACTGTACATTAGTGTTGTAAGAAGACTATCATTGTATTTTATTGTATGTAATGCTGCAAATGTACCCATTCAATGCAAGGGAAAGATGGGGATTCCATCTTCCCTGTTACTCCCTAAGGGTACATGCCAAGTTTGGTACCAACTGGTCCAGTAATTAACTAGTTATAAGTGAATACACATCTTTTGTCAAATAATGATTTATATAAATAAAAACATGATGCTAATTACCAAAAAATCAAACTGCATTAATACTGATTTCACCACCATCACAAACATATATACATAACACCTTTTCCTGGTGAAGGAAGTTTCATGCCATAACCATGACTAAGAAAAAGTTTACAAATTTTGTTACAAATCTGTGCATGTGTTTATGTACATATAAACAAAAGAAACATTTCAAGTATGTTTTGGGCATTGTAATCTACTGTATGCTGCAATGAGCATCTTAAGAGTTTCAAATATTTTTGTTTTAAATGTCAACACTGTTCCACTTGATTATTTGTTCAGTTGCAGAAAAAATGCGAGTTTTTCATTCTGCAAGTTTTTAAATAATTTATTGTATAAATGCAACCACAGTCTATTGCCTTTATAAAAAGCACAAACTTCACAGTAACCATTAACTTTCAGATTACATATTACATCTTGGCATTCCGATGTTATAACATTTTACTCTATGTTGTCAACATTTTACCATTGTTTAAAAAAAAAGTTAAAAAAAGAAGAATTTGTGACAATATAAAAATTCATCTGAAGGTTTGTTTTCGTCTCTCAAATGTGTGTTTAAATTGGGGGAAAAAAAGGGGCTAAACTTGAGGGTTTGGGATATGTTTTGTCTTGAGAAGTGAAACACTGTGAATATGTAGTCAGTAGAAAATATGATCTCAACATAAAATTATATACCAGAGTTATGTCTTAAGTAATTCTTCAGTTGGAGTACAATAAAACAAAATTACATACAAAACATTATAATAATTTCTCATATCAAATGACAAGTAACAATTGTTAAGTGCTAGGGCATGCAGAACTGTATAAATGTAAAACTCAATGAAAGAAAGATTTGTACTCTAAAGATGAGTTAAAAACAGATTAATTATAAACATTACTCCTATATTTACAATTTGTTTATTAAATCTAAAAAATAATAATTAATAGTAACAGTTAAAAGATCTAAAACATGCATATAATTTCAACCAATTGTATGTTGTTGTCAATATGTTATTTGCAGACAAAATTTATCACGATTCACACATTTGACCAGGAACAAATTTCCTTAACTTTTAAGTTCTGAACTGTACACATGTATGCAAACCAGTTAACCCCCTCTCCGCAGACATCTTTTTTCTGCACCTGTCATGAGGTTTTAATGAGTTACATTCAAAATTTAATTAAACTACTTTCTTTTCATGGTATATTAATAAATATAGTAAAATAAAATAGCTAAAAATCCATACTTTAATAGTATATAAGTTTAAGTTCTTACTTTTATAAAGTAATGTTAACAAATAAATCTAGAGTTTCCCTAGTGTGAGAATTGTGACATTTACTCTCTAGGCATCTCCTCTTCTCTAATTTATTTACCACCCCTGCAAGAAGTACAAAATTTAATGTAAAGTACTTATTATAATATCATCATCATTGCTCAGGCAAAGCATAATTATCTTAGCTTTCAATCTCATTTAGTTACAGAACCATGAAATAGACAACCACACCACTCTTGCCACACCCACGTCACATCCTCCCTTTCAGAAATTGCTAATAGTTTTCTCTGTCGTTCAATACTGTATTATTTATAGTCAATACAAAGCCAAGGTTTTCATCTATCAAGTGATGTATTATATTAAGTTGTTTTCCATAAAAAGAAATGTAAAAGAACTATCAATTTTGCTTTCATTTCAAGCTTGATTTCTATGGGAAACACATTGATGAGCTTAGATGAATTTTTAACAGCTGTTGTTGCAGAGTTAGAAAGTGAGAAAAACTGTGATAGTTATGGGACATTGTCTGCTTTTTGCACATTATTATTCTGTGTTCTTTAGTGCATTATTTAATTAAATAAAAAATTATTTACTGCAGTACTACCATTAGTATAAAAAGGTCGGGTTAAGTGTCATCGACAGTCGACAGCAAAAAAAAAAAGAAAACCCAGGTAAGTACTTTTTATCATGTTTTTCAGGTGTATTCTTTATTTATTATCATAAAAGTAACTAAAATGTAAAAATAGAAAACTTTTTACATTAGTTAAGGGTTAAGTGTCATCAACAATCGACAGCAAAAAAAAAAAAAAACCCAAGTAAGTACTTTTTATCGTGTTTTTCAGGAGTATTCTTTATTTATTTATTATTATAAAAGTAACTAAAATGTAAAAATAGAAAACTTTTCACATTAGTCAAGGTTAGATTAAGTGAAATAAATAACACTAATAATATAATAACTTTTCATGAGGTATGCTCGCAAATATCTCATTCATAATGTAATTCAATAGTGTAACGTGAGCTGCACATTCGTCATGTGATTTACAACTTATAATGGGTTAGTCAGGGTTCAAATGGAAATAAAACAATAAAATTTAATTATAAATATATGTAGCTCCATATTACAATTTTAAAAAGAAAAAAAGGGTAATTTAGATTTATTTCAATTTTTTTGGTGGTTACGAGGTCACTCAAATTGACCAACCTTGTATAAAGTTATGGTAGAAAAAATAACAGATAAAATATAAAGTTTTGCTAAAAAAAACATTTGAAATTTATTTAAGAGGTTTTAGAAATAATGCAAAAAAGAAATTGAGATTTTTGAGATGAAGAAAAGCATTTTTAATCTTAACATTGAAAATTAATTAGCACACAGACTACTTTATAGAAATACTATATATATTCATGGACAAATCTTTAGTAAAACTACTTCATTAAAAAAATCTGATATTTTTGTATACAAGAGACTTCTAATGTTTACTAAAAGTCTGCCAAATTTTGTGAAGATACACACACACTGTATTAAAAGTTATAGTATGAAAACTATA